AGCTCACACCCAATGCATATCTTATTAATTTTCTATAAGAGGGCTTTCACATATGTGTGTAAATGTGCAACTTTGTCGAAGCAAGCGGAGATTAAAGTAAAAAGAGACCGATTTTCTAACGCTTTAAAAATTACGTTCTTGGTCAGTTTGCAGCTCCAAATTTTTCTTCATTTGAAGTTCTTGAAAAAGGTGCATTTATATTCGAAATTAAATGAATACTTATAATATTTCTGAAATTTAAATTTTGTTAAAAGTTGTTGGAATGTCTTATATAAGTAGATATAGCCACCCATTTCTGGAGTTATACTGTTCACTAAATCCAATTTATTTTTGAAAAAAGTCGAAACGTTATTGTCGGTATAAGAATTGAAATTTTGAAAATGTATATATATTCATGCATGTCAATTGAAAATATAATGAATTTTCCAATTGTCATTTTATTCAAATTACTATTGTTTGTTTTTGAATTTTTAACACAAAAATAAATTTATTTAATTTATGAATTTTTTCAACTTTTAACATAATTGAGATCTAATACCAATTTGGATCAAACTGAACGCAGTGTGATAAGTTTTACTAAAATCGGTTCAGTAACTACGCAAAAACGTTACATACAGTTTTTATACTACCGAATCTTATTGCAATAGAGTGTAATAGTTTTTTCTACTAACGGTTATTTGTATCGTCTAAAACTAATCGAAAATGATCTAAAGTAATACATATGTAAATAATTAGGACAGAGCGAGTTTAAATCGGAGTGATAGTCTGGTAAGCGATAATTTGAAAAAATTTAGATATCTTGATGAAACTTACAATATACTTATGTCTCTTAGCGTCCAAGGGAAGTTGCCATTGTAGAAAACTTTTTAGAAAGGCGATGTGACCCACCTTTCAAATGGTTTAATGTACATATTTTCCAAACCACTAGACTTAAATATTCAAAATGCACTATATGGAAGTTCTTAAAAGTTTTTTCATTTACTGTGAAAGTGGGTTAAATCAGAAAAAACCACGCCTACTCCCCATGAAACGGTAGTGTTGACAAGTAGTTAATATGAGATAACTCACTAAATAAATGCGTCAGAATGACAGGGAAGGGCTTTATGGGGGCCGCTTTAAAAGTTCGATGTGTGTAAGGTTGCTCAAACATTCCTTTTACCACGTCTACTTCCAATACTACACATCTTTAAATTTCGTTTTATTATACCTTATTTTCTAGTATAAAAAATTAAGCACCATTAGTTATATCGGGACAAAGTTTTGTACAAAGTGATTCTAAAGCCTCAAGTCTAAAAATTGACTAAATTGATCCATAACTCTTCAATCCCCAGGTACTGAATATGTGTACGCAAGTGCCTGTGGCTGAATTTATACCGATAATATCGGTCATTACGTGAAAAGAAAGAAATGAATACAATAGTATGTCTGTATGTCAAAAATAGGGTCAAAACTTCTTTTAGCCTCACATACCAAATATAAAGATATCCGAACTATAAAATTGGGTTAAAACTTGCCCATGTAGGGTCTACAACTTTGCTTCCGCCATTTATTTTTTTGGTAATTTTAAGGCTTTATTGTATAAAAACGGTCCAAAAGTGTTTTCCCTTATTCAAAAAGCAATGCTTAATTAACACACGAAATGCTTTATGATCCATTTTTTTTTGTAAACTAACACAAGTTGCTTTACAAAATTCTATATATTTTTTAATACCTCATAGGAATCATATAGATGGTAGTAAAAGAGTAATAGTATTATCTATGTATGTGTCAGCCTCAGTAAAGCGTGGACGGGTCTTCAGCAAAATTTCCCGCAAATGTTGAGAATTCGGCTCAAAAAGTTACATTTTCAGTTGAGAATAAGTTTGAGATGCAATCAGATCTCTACAAATATTTTGTTGAGTTAATGTTGGCATAAATGTCCAAGATCGATATAAAACGATTTAATCGATTTAATCGACCAGTGCTTGACCCTAGAGACATCTATTGGAAAATGGCGGAATAAAGTAATATCGGTATTTTCATCCATGTGGTTGACTTTACGCCTTATATAATATAATATATATAATATTGATAATAGTATATGAATACCTCAACGAAACTCAGACAACTTTTTTAACGTTTAGTAATTACAGTCTAATGCTAGGACAGAAGGTGAAATATAGCATTATAACTGAGTGTGTAAGAAGTATATATTGTGACGAAATAGCACCCGGGAATTCCCCGTGTAAATGAGATGTAAAAAAAATTATTTTGTTAAGTTTTTTAAGACTGTGCTCAATTATTGTGCCAAAAATGAGCGCGATCTGTCAACCAGTATGTGTATAGCATATATATAGTATAGTAGGACAGGATATATTACATCTGGTGGGTATTACTTTGAAGGCGAAAAAATAAATTTTGATTAATAATTAAACATTTTGAGTTTTATTTACAAATTCCGGGTACTTTTTCGTCACAATGCATGTAGTTTATTAAAGTAACAAACGATTTTGTCGAATAATGAATGTTGAATTCATCGGCAACATTCTTTAAAATAAAGAGAGAAGAATTGCTCATAAAGACCAACTTTAGTTCTATACGGTCTTAAAATTTATTGCCTGTAATTTTTATTTACATATGTATGCCTTTACCGTTTAAGAACATAGAATTTCGCAATGATGCTTATTTTAATCTAATTTGAACCTAAAACGTATCCAAATTTTTTGTCAGTTTTTGAAATCCAATCCAGTAGTACATTAAAATTTTTACGGAGGTCAAAAAAAGCATGGGTTTTAGTGACAACAAATTTTAATTGTAATAATTTACCGATTTTATGCTCATACTATGCACAATACTATGGATACAGGGTATGCCCGAAAAGAAATAGGACTGATTTTCTTCCGCCGCGACTGTACTTCGGAGCGTGTGCACACCGGCTGGATTTAGTTGACCGCTTCATATTTCACGAACGAGCGTTTCGTCAGTTGTCTTCGAGCATCTGGAGAGTCAAGACAAATATTTTCGCTCGACGTGGTTTCGTCGAGTGGTGCAAGCCGACAATACATGGTTCGTTAGAGCAGAGATATACAATTAAATTCTGTGTGAAACTCCATAAATCTGCGACAGAGACGTTTGATATGATCAAGCGGGCTTACCCAGATGTTGCATTAGCAATAAGTGGTGCGTTTCGGTGGCACCAGACCTTTTTGGAGGGCCGGGAAGAGGTCGCTGCTGAAGAACGGAAGAATGAGCAAATCCACAGTGAAAATGATGCTCATTGTCTTTTTTGAGATCATATTCATCGTCGACCATGAATTTATTTCTCCTGAACAAACCGTCAACGCCAAGTTTTACGTGGAAGTCCTCCAGAGACTCAAACAAAGGGTAAATCGGGTTCGACAAGACATCGCAGCCGATTTGAAGCTGCACGATGCCAACACCCCGGCTTTCTTGTGAAGAGCTACCTATCCAAGGCCAGCATCTCAACTTCTCCACAGCCGCTTTACAGCCCAGATGTGGCCCCCGGACTTCTTTTTGTTTCCTTGCTGAAAAGGCCGATGAGCCTTTTGAGACGACAGAAGGGATCCAAGCAGCATGTACCTCGGCTCTCACGGTCATTCCGGAGAATGCTTTCCGTGACGCCTTCAATGCTTGGAAATCGCGCTGGCAGCAACCACGCAGGAGAAGCCTATTTTGAAAGTTTTTAAAGAATTGTAACGATTGGTTGAATAGTTTTTTTTTTTAAATCGGCTCAGTCCTATTACTTTCCGGTCAAACCCTGTAAAGTAACTGACAGTTCCAAACGACTGATTGAAAACTTTTCAAAGTAGTTTATACGCAAATTTAAAGAGCGTAGTTGTGAGACAAACGACTGGCGCGCTGTTGTTAACTCGGCTATAATCGCGTAAGCGGTGACTACGCCAATCAAGAACAAGAGAAGTTGTGAGACAAAAGTTTGAAAAACTCTTTCCGTCAGGGCTGGAAAGAGAGCTAGTGTTTTTAAACTAGTCGGCATTTTCATTTAAAATTTTCGGAAGATATTTATAAATAGTTTTAGCAGCAACTTATGAAATAAAAAAATCAGTTTTGTAAGCCGCGTTGTTTTCTATCTGTAATGGTGATTCATTACATCATATGTGATGAATACACTTTATCCAAAACTAGATTTTTCGTTGTTATAGCGGTTGCATGCAATTCATAATTGACCGCCTTAATTTATTTTAATACCATTGTAGCCATATATCGGTTAATAACGAGGTAATAGGCCACTTTTTATTAAGTTTTAGTTGACAGGATTTAAAAAAAACTGTTGTTGTACAGTATAAGAACTATTATTGGTAAAGAAAATGGTATTCAAACTACATTTATTATCATTGTTTGAATAACTCAAAGTTATGCACGAGTACGTTTGCTTTTACAATATATAATATAAAGTGTTGAATAGTAAAGCATTTATAAATACGAATATGCACCTAGACTTTAGAATACTGTTATGTGGTATTTGCACACATTTATATTCATTCCGATTTTCATCAATTCCATACACATTTGTACAAGCGTGTACATATACTTACACATTATACCGGGTTTTTATTTTATATAAAATCGGGAATGCGCGAAATGTTCCACGGATCATTCTGAACAACTTAAGACGTAAGAGACTACGGGTTTAAAACCGGTTTCGAGAAAGCGATTTGTAAAGCGAACTTTAAAATATCTGAATGATCGCTTGTATCGGAGATTTCTGATTCCACATATGATCAAAAGAATATCCAAATGCACCTTTGGATTATCCTTCACTCGGATATTTCAAAAACTGACAAAAAATTGTTATGCTCCGAAGCCAGTTTTTGATTCATAGTTTTTCTCAATAATTCGAAAATTATTTTCGGCATAGTCGACGTTTCCGTTGATTTGACGATTATCTCGCTCTAACACACATGCTCTTGCTTGCGAGACTTAAATAAAATTATTGTTGCAATATAAATGTTTTTTTTTTTTTTTTTAATTCTACTGTTTAGGCATTTGCATGGTTCAGTGACTTGTTGGTGGAACATGCAGAAATCTTCTGGTCGCTATTTGCTGTGGACATGGATAGGGTACTCACCGAGCAGCCACCAGATACATGGGACTCATTTCCTTTATTTCAAATACTTAATGACTATTTGCGTGCAGACGGTAAGTATTATGTTTTAAATATAAATGAGTATTATAATAAAAGGATTCAGAGTTCTATACTTTTTAGAGAAAAAAATACAGAAACTCCAAATTTAATGGGGAATGTTAATTATCCTTCGAAAGAGCATTGGTTATTGGTTGGTTGGTTATAATGGCGCGATAACGGTTACGTTCTCACCGTAATAATTTTGAAGAAATATGGAACGATGATTCTTCCGACCCACCAACTATCGTTTTTTTCTGGATGAAATGGCAGCTCTTGAATTTCTTCAGGTTACTCTCCGTCCCAAATGCGACAATTTTGTGTGTTAACATACCCATTGAATCAGAAATATCGCTGAACAAAATTTGTCTCGAAAACGTCGTATTTTCTTGAAACTTTTAAAGACCCCATTTAACAAAGTGATGTTGCTGGGGAAGGTCGAGCAGCTTCAGTTCTGACACAAACTGTATTTTGTACGCATAAGGTCTCGACGTATAATGTGTCAAGTCTTTCCATACGTCAGTGCGAGTTGCTGCGAAAAGCGCCGAATCAACCTACTACGTGTGCACTCTCAGCTACGGCTATTCTTCACTGCGTGCTTGACGTGGTCTATTCGGTCGAATGGCTGATGGTGTTGCGAATAGTATGCTCAGGCTGATAATGTTGACCATAAGATGAGGGAAGCACGCAAAATACATTCTTTTCAGAACGCGAATTTTCGTCATAAAGTTAAACGATTTATAAATGTTGTTCATTCCTAAGTCTTTCCATTATAAAATACCAAACAATACAGAACAAATATAACATGACAACTTGACATGACTCACACATATTTTGTCGCAAAAATGCTACTGAACAAATCAGCTTTACTTGTATCAGCCAATAATTTATGATTACTTATTCAAATAATGCGTAAGTACTGTTCGTTACACTTCTCTGCAGAGTATTTAAAGCCCAAAACTTAGCTAAGCCTGATAGGTAGACAAATTTTGGGCAACAATCCACAATCATATTATGGCCATTTGGCCATATGGCATGAACAAGCGAATAGCGAATTCCAAGGAATGCTGCTGGGAGTGCTTTATATGTAAGACTCTGATCAGGCCTCGTTGCAGTGGGTCCATACTTAACTTTAACGCGCGCATCATTCTACCAAGAAACTCATCCTAGCTTTTAAACAAGCCAAACAACGATAACCACACTATTACATCTAACCGTTCGTTGAGAAATTAAAACCCCATACTCCAAAGATTTCTAAAATCCAAGTACATCGCTTCATCGTGGAAATTCAACTCAACAGAATTCGACGCATATATCCACGCTAGCGGCCGTATTGAACTTACTTAATTCGAGTGAGGGTATTGAGGATAAACCATTATTTGGTTCAGAATAACAATACGCACATAACATCTATATGAATGAAAATATGGTTATTCCTCAATCTTCTTCTTCTTTACCGCCTTAGACACCGCTTACATGGTAATAGATAAGTTAACAACAGCGCGCCAGTCATTTCTTCTTTCCGCAATGCGGAGTCAATTGAAGATTCGGGGTCTTTCTCCAACTGGTCTTTCCACCGGATTGAAGGTGTTCCTCTTGCTTTGCCTTCCACAGCAGTCACTGCATTCCTTCAGTGCTGCAGTGTTTTTGTTAATTCGGACGACATGACTAAGTCAGCGTAGCCGCTGTCTTCAATTCGCTGAGTCAATGCCGTCGTATATCTCATACGGCTCATCGTTCCAGAATGTGATATTCGCCGTGATCAAAGGACCATAAATCTTCCGCAGAACATTTCTCTCAAAAACTCGTAATGTTGATTCATCAGATGTAGTCATCGTCCATATCTCTGCATCATAGTATAGCATTGCGGGAATAATAAGTGACTTTTAGAGTTTGGCTTTTGTTCGTCGAGAGAGAACTTTACTTTTTTATTGTCTACTCAGTCCGAAGTGGCACCTGTTGGCAAGAGTTATTTTTCGTTGTATTTCGAGTTTGACATTATTGTTGGTGTCGATACTGGTTCCCAGATAGCCGAAATTATCTACAACTTCTAAGTTATGATTGTCAACGATGACGTGGGCGCCTAGTCGCGTCTTGCTCTCGTTCACAACTAGACCCATTTGCGTCGCTTCCTTATCCAATCTGGAGAAAGCAAAATAACGGCCCCCATGTTGAGGCCAATGAGATCAATCTCATGGGCATACACCAGCAGCTTATAGAAGATGGTACCTCTTCTATTTAGTTATGTGGCTCGAATTATTTTCTCCAAGAGTAGATTGAAGAAACCGCACGAAAGAGAGTCCTCTTGCCTGAAACATCGTTTGGTATCGAATGGCTCGGAGAGGTCCTTTTCGTTCCTGACGGAGCTTCTATTGTTGCTCAACAACAGTTTACATAGAAGTATTAGCTCTTTGGGGATTCTAAGTTGAGGCATATCGGAGGCTCTTCGCTTATAAGGTTCAATCAGTTTCTGCTTTAATCTTTCACACACTGTGTTCGATAGGTCATTTTATGCGATGATCAAAGGACCTATCCCAAGGTACTTGGCGCAGATTTTGGGGTCTCCGTTTTTGGAGATTAGGCAGAGTTTCGGGCATGCTTTCCTCCGACCATATTCTACTAAGTGTAAGATGATGGATGTTCCTTATCAGTTCTTCGCTTCCGTATTTGGCTTGGCTGGCAATCCATCGGCCCAAGACACCTTTTTGTTTGTAAGACTGCTAATTACTATTCGAACTTCTTCATGGTCGAGCAATGGAACGTCTGCTCCATCGTAATTGATTGGGTAATCGTTTTCGCCTTAGCCTGGCATTGTACTTCCACAGTCATTGAGCAGGCTGCACATGTGTTCCCTTTAGTGTATGCTGTAGACATCAGTTCCTAGATCACCTCTGAGGGGTTCTAAAAGAGAATGGTCCGGTTTTGAAATCTTCTGTTTGTCGCCTCATCTTTTCGTAGAATTTTTGAGCATTCCGTGGTATCGTGGATGATATCTTTGGTCACATCGTCTTATTCCTCCGTTCAGGCGTGGCGACAATTCAGCGAAATGTTGAAGAAATTCCGCACCGAATTTGAGCTTCTTTATATGGCCACTGTAGCAAATGCCACAAGGATCTACTCTTCCCAGTCTTTGTCCCGTCCATTTTATTTCTTGGACGGCGGTGATGTCAGCCTTTGTACGAGAATATCAAGCAGCTGGACAACAGCACCTTCTCAACTAAGGGATCGGACATTCCAGGTGCAAGCCCTCAAATCGTAATCCTTAATTCGTTTGCCATGGTCGTATCTCGTCCGAGTCTGTTGTTTACTTTTCAAACCCTGTGGAGAGATGATTCGCCTTCTAACGTTAGCTCGCCTTCAAGCGGATGAGAGGATACTTGGTCTAAGACCGGAAGTCGTGAGATGCTTGAGCCTGTGTAAAAGAATCCTTTCTGGTCAATCCCAAGTGAATGATGAACAGAGAACTTTCCTCACTTGGGTGACCTTTTATACATGACTCCATCCTCCCTCATATTCCTCATTTACTCCGCACTTAATACATAGTTACTACAGTAATTAGTAATTAGTTTTTCCGCTCTTTTGAGAACAACATTCATATTTCGTAAAGTCTTTAGATTGGGTTGCAGGATCTTTCCACTTTATCACCACAATGTCCTTACTGGTTTTGTTAAACAACAGCCTCGAGCACATGTGCTGAAAAAGCATGCATCTGATAGAGCTTACTTTGATCTGCTCGGTGGGGTAACAATGAGAGCGATGATCCTACATATTTACGAATTGTAAGGGAACAATTAAATTTAGAAACTATTTACAGGGATAAAGGGATGCCCAACTTAATCCAGCGTGAGAGCGCCTCAAAATTGGTGTTTTTTATAACATTATCCATTATAGCCAGATCGGACAAAATAATAATTTTTGGGCATTTAAATTAAAACACTCAACATTTATAACATTGATAGAGGTCGTTTAATTATGGACAAACTATTTAAATATTTTTATGGTATGTTTAAATAATTGACTTACGACCTTTCAATACCCAATAAAAGATTTAAGTTCGGTAGCTCTCAACCAGAGGAAGAGAAAGACCTCCACTCCGTTGGAAGGACCAAGTGGAGAAGGACCTGGCTTCACTTGGAATATCTAATTGGCGCCACGTAGCGAAAAGAAGAAACGACTGGCGCGCGGTTGTTAACTCGGCTATAATCGCGTAAGCGGTGACTACGCCAATCAAGAAGAAGAAGCTCTCTACCAATAAATGTTCTTAATCATTTCCCATATTTCACATTACAAAACGATTCTTCAAATACTCAAATTTCAAAAATTCACTTAATTTTCATTGTTTTACATTTATAAGTGGCCTTGAACGATGCAACAAATCCCCCCGTTTACATAGTTTTTTGGTCAGATTTCAATAAGGCCCATCCCTCGTTGCTAATTGCTAAACATTAAAACCTCCTGAAATTTGACAGCTGATCGAGTTCAGGAGATTTTTACGTTTATTAAGTCCTCTCTCACTTTCAATGAGAGATGAGTTGGGCATCTCCTTATCTCTGCTATATAATGTTAGTTTAGAAAATATCTCCCTTTCGCCTTTTTGTCTTTTGAATTTCGCGGCTATGTATAAAGCGCTACAGAGCACGTATCTGGTATTACTATACACCTTTGAAAATTCTTGACATAACCGACAAAACGACGCTATGCTTGATTAGTTTAAATATTTCATTTAACAGTTATAGACGTGTTAAAATTGAGTTGCTAACGCCGAAACTCGTGCTATTTTAAAGTTTTCCTTCGTTAAAGGCAAAACCGCTAGAGAAACGTTCCGTCAGATTAATTCTGTTTTTGGGGATAGTACTCTATCACTTCGAACTATGAAGAAATGGTTTCGACGATTCAGATCGGGTAAAAACGACACCATGGATAAGCCAGCAGGCGGAAGACCTGTGACGACGAATACGTATCAATTAAAACATCGAGTTAGAACGGTATGTGGCACCTCGTGGCATCGCCCCGAAGATGGAATTTTAAACCATCTGCAGAATGCTGGACGCACAAAAAAGTTTGATGTTTGGGCGCCGCATGATTTGACACAAAAAAATCTTCTGGACCGAATCAACGCCTGCGATATGCTGCTGAAACGGAACGAACTCGACTCATTTTTGAAGCGGATGGTGACTGACGTCGAAAAATGGATTACATACGACAATATCAAGCGAAAACGGTCGTGGTCGAAGGCCGGTGAATAGTCCCAAACAGTGGCCAAGCCCTGATTGGAAGGAAATAATCCACCATGAGCTGCTCCTATTTGTCCAGACGATTAATTCTACCAATGCGAACAACTGGAAGCTTGTAGCAGGCGATCAACCGGAATTAGCCAACAGGAAGGATGTAGTGTTCCACCAAGACAACACCAGACTACACACATCGTTGATGACTCGTCAGAAGCTACGATAGCTCGGATGGAATGTTTTATCGCGTCCATTATATAGTCCGGACATAGACATAGCGCAAAGTGATTACCACCTGCTCCTGTCTATGGCGAACGCCATTGTTGGTGTAAAGTTGAACTCAAAAACGGGTTGTGAAAAGTGGCTGTCCGGGTTCTTCGAAAATAAGGATTTTGTGCTTCTACGAGGGGGGCATTACGACTGAAACGGCGCATATTTCAATTAAATCCTATCACTGTAACATTTAAATGATTGAATAAAGAGCAAAAAAGCGGAAGGAATATATTTTCCAATATATTTGTTTTCTCCAGTATTTATGTTCTGTAGTGTTGTTGGGTTACGTCGGTATAAAGAATCTGACAAAAAGTAGAAGAATAATCAAATTGACAGCGATTGATATTTAGTCCGATAAAAAGCTTTCAATGACAGATTTTAGTAGAGATGCCAAGTTCTTGTGAGATAGGAATCTATTATCCAATTTCATTGGTTTTTGCTAAAAAGAATACAACACAATTGTTGTAACTTATTTAGGGAAACCGAGATTTTTGTTTAACATATTCATGGTAAAGTCGGCCGGACGGGCCGGAGTTTAGTCCTTAGTTACTTAAATTCAAAATACATAGCAGCAATTGTATACATGAATGGTTTTTGTGTAGACAATTTGCGGAACGGGCGCTTTCACCAGCATTTGCGTGACACGTATGCACCGCTAGTTGTACGCTACGTCGATCTGATGGAATCATCAATTGCTCAATCAATACACAAGGGCTTCGAAAAGGAACGCTGGGATAGTAAAGGGTAAGTGTGTTCCAAAAGCTCTATCTAGTTTCTCAATTCAACCCTCGCTATTTTTTATAAGATATTTGAATTATAAATGTTGCAAAATTAAGAATATAACCTTAAACATATATGTGTGCATCTTTATTTAATTAAAATTGCCATAATTTAATTACTGAAGCTGTAAAACAAATAACTCAAAATGATTTCACTGTCTATGAAAGGTTTCATGTAGTACAGTTGTGTGTAAAGTACTCTCATTAAACTCTCTTAAAAGACATAGCACCAAACTTATTACATAATTAAATATATTTTTATACACTTATTTTTTATTTATTATGTAGGTCAAATTGAATATACTTTCATCATTTCAAATTTAAAATTCCATACCTATTAACAATTACTGGAAAGTATTTTTGTTCATTAAAATACTAAATGTTTAATAAGTTTTTTATTGCAAATATTACAACTTTTTCCTTTTTCTTTGCTGACGTAGACAACGCTTACGTGCTTATATACGCGAGGACAAAGCGAGACAGTCGTTTCTTCTTTTAGCGTCAATTCGAGATACCAAGTGCAGCCAGGTCCCCCTCCACCTAATCTCTCCAACGGAGTAGAGGTCTTTGTTCGCCGAGGTTTGTCTTTACTTTTTAATTGTTTACTCAGTACAACGTGGCAACTGTCGGCAATAGTGATTCAACGCTAAATTTCTATGTTTATATCGTTGTTGGTCGTAATACTGATTCTAAGATAGACGATATTATCCATGACTTCATAGTTATGAATCTTAACAGTGACGTGTCAGTCAAGTCGCCAACGCGATGATTGTGTGTTTGATGACAGGAGAAATTTCGTATTGTCCTCGTTCACAACCAGATCCTTCCCTTCGCTTCCTTCCCTTCTGGAGAAAGGAACTAACGGTCGATAGTAGATTTTCCTGGCCTAACGCCACACTTATAAGGTCCAATCACTTCGGTAACGTTGTGTCTTTCACACTCCACACTCGATAAGACCTTATATGCGAAATTAAAGAGATTTATACCACGGTAATTGGCGTAGATTGTGGAATCCCCCATTCTGTGGATTGGGCAGCCCATACTTAGACTCCAATCCTCAAGTATGCTTTCATCCCACTATATCCTGTAAAGAAGCTGATGCATGCACCTTGTAATTTTTCGTCGAAGTATTTGAATAGCTCGGTCGGCAATCCATTGGTTACTGCCGCTTTGTTGTTCTTCATGCGAGTAATTGCTATTTGCACCTCTCCATAGTCGGGGAATGGAAAATCTGTGGAGTGTTGATGAGAGTTGAAATCTGTAAACAGAAAAAACCCAACAATACTTATCATCGCACTATTATCTGGAACATAAGAATGTTATGGATTTAATGAATATTATCGTATTTCTTTAGACCCTATTTAAAGAGCACACTTGTAAGGTAACACGTGTGACTACGATAACTACGGAATTATACGGCTAGATAGGAATAAACCTCCCCAAGGTAAGCAAGGTACTAATTTGTGAATCAAAATAGCATTTGCTTGGAATGAAAGTTCAATTTCTTAATGCGGATTAAAAAGTACCGAAACTAGTTCCTAATATTTGGTTTTTGCGATATTAAATTTTACTTAAAATGGCCGGTGATTTTACTTCAACTTTCATTAAGCGTTTAGAGTGCAAATTTCAATTCTTAACCAAGCACACGAAATATAGATCAAGTGTTTTGAGGATATTGTAGTACATAATTAATAGACCAAACATGGTTGGTTCATCAAGCTAGTAGTTCAAGCTCGTGGTCTATCCATAAGAGCTACTGCCGATTCTATCAGTGTGAAATACACGAGATAATCAAAAATTCATTAGTCATATCGAATTTCATTTACAATCGCTTCATAATATTTATGTACCAAAACATTTTCTAATATTTTAAGTAATTTTTTTTTTATATTTTTGTTTAAAATTAAACTATTCCTTTATTTTAAATGATTTGTTTAGTTTCTGTACACCTCTTCATTATTGCTTATTTTTTCATTTAATTTTTTTATACATGCAAACTTATTTATGTACCCTCTTGCAACAAATCCGAACCTGAGACCCTAGTAGTTGAAAACTTTAGTTATTTCACGATAACATGGCCAGTATGCCGCATTTCATGTAAATAATCGAAATTTGTATCATACCATAATTGAACTCGGTGTCTCCGGATACAAAATCAATGAATTTTAACAGCTTTCCGTGTTCCAAAAATGTAAAAAAAATTTAAATTTCATTGTTTTCGTTAACCACTATTAATTACCATTTCCATGAACCACATGTTTTGAAGTTCTCAAAAATCATAAATTCATTTTCTTATTCCGAATTTGATTATTTTATTCTATTCACACGTCAAAATGGGAGGTCACTTTTATTCCATAATAGTCTACGTTTATAAAGATTGCGGGGCGTAATTTACTCTTAGCTTATACATGTATGTATGTATGGAAATATTTTATAACTTTGGTGTTTGTTAATCAGAGTAAAAATTAATTGAATAAAGTTAGTTTTCACTGTATACTTTTATCTCAAATTTTTAATGTATTTTTTCTTCTTCTCTCTCCCTATTTCTCTTTTCCTTCTTTTAATATTTTAACTTAATTATTTTGTATTTGAACTTGTGCCCTTTCAATACGACTTAAATATTTGCACTCACATCATTTACCGTAATCGACAACTATATACGATATAGGATTAATGCAGCTTTAAATCCAGCAACATTAAATAACGCGGCTCAGGCTTTAAATACCGCAGCCCTTAATCCGGCGGCGCTACTTGGGAGCAAAAAAGATCAGGTCAATTTCTATGTACCAAAGCTACCAAGGCGTTCTGTTAATGCTAACGAAGATACGAGGTTTTTACCCATTTAACAATAAATATTAAAATGAAATAAAAAATACACACTCAATAAATATTAACGTATATAGATATATAAAAACTTTCCCGTAATTTTTGAATAAATATTATGCATTGCTTTTCATGATTTTCATTAGTGAGCATAAAGTATGTAGATAATGCAATATATGGTATGTATGTCGTATGTTTTCATTTTTGTAACCGTTGCAAAACGGGACCAGTAAATAAAGAACAGAACAAATATCAAAGTAATTTTTCAGAAAAATATTTTTTATATATTATTCAAAAACAATATAAGCAAATTAATATATTTATAAATATTATGCATAGTAAACTCATAGATTAATCAATCGATCGATTATCATGGAGAATTTAGCGAAAATGGGAAGAAAGTAAATTATATGCTGTATGCTAAAATAATTGTTTTCTTCCCACATCGTTAATTGCATTATTTCGAAAACGTATGAGCTTCAAAAGTTTTTTCTGGGCTCATTTACTATTGTTAAGTTTTAAAGCTTTTTATAAAAAATTGCACAACTTGTGAGTCGCAAAACTGTCTAGAGTACAAAATACGGTATTACATACATACGCATTGCAATAAATGATAAAATGTAGTTGCGTTTCTATTATTATGAGTCATTTCATTCAAAAATTGATGTTAGGTATTGTTAATTAACATTTGTCTTAATATAGGTACATACATACATGACTGCATATGGAAAAAAATGTTAAATATGTGTGAATTTTGGAACGAACTTAATCTTTTGTTACTACTCGTTAGACTACCTACTAAGCGATATTCAAAAATGATACTCATTAGCATTTTCCCTAAGATAGCCATATAAATACATATATATCAGCAATTATATAATATATATATTGAAATCGATTTCAGAACTTTGATAGTATGCTGTTATAAATATCCAGGATAATAGCTAGTATTCTATTATCCTGGATATTTACAATTATGCCAACCGCCATGTCACAACGGAATTCTTTTCAGTTGAGAATAATAAGCACAGAACAGCACATAAATTGTAAACAAAAGCGCAAACACTTCTGTTAATTCATAGACTTAATATATAAGCGAGATACATGCAGAGTTATATATATACATATATAAATGATCAGGAAGACGAGAAAAGTTGAAATCGGGTTGACTATCTGTCTGTCCGTCTGTCCGTGCCAGCTGTAACTTGAGTAAAAATTGAGATATATCGATGAGACTTGGTTAGATGGGCGTAATCGGATCACTGCCACGCCCACAAATCACCATTAACCGAAACATATAAAGTACCATAACTAAGCATTAAATTAAGATATAAAATTGTAATTTGGTATAAAAGATCCTAATACCAGGGGGGCACATATTTTTTTTTAAAGTGGGTGTAGCCCCGCCCTCTAACAAGTTTACTGCACTTAGCAACAACAATCAAACTTACTCAATACAAATCGTATAAGAACTTCTACCGATAGTGTGGAAATAGATGAAATCGGAGAATAACTCCTCTCACTCCCCATATAACGGTACTGTTAAAAACCACCTTATGCCACCTTATGAACAAAAAATGTTTATATGCAATAAAAACTGTTCAAGAGCCTAGGTACCGAGTATGTTTAAACCCCGGTACCTATAGTTGACTTTTCATCGAAAATGTCGGTCAATATTTGATATATAACTGAAATGAAGTGATAAACCTTCTCTGGCAATGGTATATCTGTATGACAAAAATGGGTTGAATCACTCCAATACTTCTGTTAGCCCCCATATACTTAATTTAAAAATTTTGGAACTTTCGGGTGACTTTGTATAAAAATGAAAATAAGAGATCATGTGTAGTCACAGTGTATCTTTATGCCTAAAGAAGATAAACTTGAGCGAAAATTTGGCCTAGCCTCTATATAACAAATTTCAGGAGTTTTGAACATCCGGCTTGCCCTGGCCTTGATTCTAGCAAGTTGCAAGAACATAAAATGTTCGATTGCACCCGAATTTAGCCTTACTTGTTCATACTTATAGTATACATAAATTTGAAAAATTATCACAATCTGTTAACAATATACTTGATTGGCAATCTTGCGGTCAATATACAAATGTAATTATTTGAAAAATATCCACTCATTTCTTCTTCTTCTTAACTGGCGTAGACACCGCTTACGCGATTATAGCCGAGTTAACAACAGCGTGTCAGTCGTTTCTTCTTTTCGCTACGTGGCGCCAATTGGGTATTCCAAGCGAAGCCAGGTCCTTCTCCACCTAGTCCTTCCAACGAAGTGGAGGTCTTCCTCTTCCTCTGCTTCCCATGGCGGGTACAGCGTCGAATATTTTCAGAGCGGGTGTGCTTTCGTCCATTCCAGCGTAGCCACTGTCTTTTAATTCGCTGAACTATGTCAATGCCGTCGTATACCTCATACAGCTCATCGTTTGATCGAATGCGATATTCGCCGTGGCCAACGCCCAAAGACCATAAATCTTTCGCAGAACTTTTCTCTCGAAAACTCGCAACGTCGACTCATCCGTTGTTGACATCGTTTAAGCCTCTGCACCATACAGCAGGACGAGAATTATGAGTGACTTATATAGTATGATTCTTGTTTGTCGAGAGAGGACTTTGTTTCTCAATTTGTTCAAATTTGTTTCTCAATTGTCTACTTAGTCCGAAGTAGCACCTCTTGGCAAGAGTTATCCTGCGTTGGATTTCCAGGCTACACTGTTGGTGGTGTTTACGCTGGTTCCAAGTTAGACGAAATTATCTACGACTTCGAAGTTATGACTGCCAACAATGACGCGAGAGCCTAGTCGCGAGTGCGACGACTGTTTGTTTGATGACAGGAGATATTTCTTCTTGCCCTCGTCTACTGCCAGACCCATTTGTTTTGTTTCCTTGTTCAGTCTGGGGAAGCAGAACTAACATCGCGGGTATTGAGGCCAATGATATCAATAWCATCGGCATACGCCAGCAGCTGTACACTCTTATAGAAGATGGTACCTTCTYTATTTAGTTCTGCAGCTCGAATTATTTTCTCCAGAAGCAAGTTGAAGAAGTCGCACGATAGAGAATCGCCTTGTCTGAAATCTCGTTTGGTGTAGAACGGATCGGAGAGGTCCTTCCCGATTCTGACGAAACTTTTGGTATTTCTTAATGTCAGCTTACACAGCCGTATTGGTTTTGCGGGGATACCAAATTCAGACATCGCGGCATAAAGGCAGCTCCTTTTCGTGCGGTCGAAAGCAGCTCTGAGATCGACGAAGAGGTGGTGAGTGTCGATTTTTCTTTCACGGTAGTTGGCGCAGATTGTGGGGTCTCTTTTTTGAGATTGGGCATAGCACACTTAAATTCCAATCGTTGGGCATGCTTTCGTCCGTACATATTTTACAAAGAAGCTTATGAATGCTCCTTATCAGCTCTTCGCCGCCGTGTTTAAATAGCTCGGCTGGCAATCAATCGGCCCCCGCCGCTTTATTCTTCTTCAGACGGGTTATTGCTATTCGAACTTTTTCATGGTCGGGTAATGGAACGTCTGCTCCATCGTCATCGATTGGGGAATCGTGTGCGCCATCTCCTGTTGTTATGCTTTCACTGCTATTCAGCAAGTTTGGAGATTTCCCTCCATAATGTAAGTATGCTCTGGGCATCGGTGACTACATCACTTTTGGGGGTTCTACAACAGTATGCTCCGGTCTTGAATACTTCTGCAAGCCTTCGCATTTTTTCGTAGAATTTTCGAGCATTACCCCTGTCGGCTAGCTTATCAAGCTCTTCACACTCACGCATTTCGGCCTCTTTCTTTCTCTTTCTGCAAATGCGTCTCGCTTCCCTCTTCAACCCTCGGTATCTATCCCATCCCGCACGTGTTGTGGTCGATCGTAAAGTTGCGAGGTATGCAGTATGTTTTCGCTCGTCTGCGACACGGCACTCCTCGTGGTACCAGCTGTTCTTTTGCCTTTTCCGGAAACCAATGGTTCCAGTAGCAGCTGTACGTAAGGGGTTTGAAATGCCGTCCCCCAGTTCCTTTATACTCAGTTGTTGACGAGTGCTGTCAGAGAGCAGGAGTGCAAGCCGAGTAGAAAATTGTTCGGCTGTTTATTGTGATTGCAGCTTCTCGACGTCGAACCTTCCTTGCGTTTGGTGGCGTGTGTTTTTTGCTGCACAGAGGCGGATGCGAATCTTGGCTGCACTAAGATAGTGGTCCGAGTCGATGTTAGGACCTCGAAGCGCACGCACATCTAAAACACTGGAGACGTGTCTTCCGTCTATTATAACATGATCGACCTGGTTGGTGGTTTTTCGATTCGGAGACAGATGATGAATCTTCGAATGCTGGAATCTAGTACTACTGATAACCATATTTCGGGCCCCGGTGAAGTCGATCAGCCTCAACCCATTTGGTAATGTTTCGTTCTGGGTGCTAAATATACCGAGCGTGGTGCCAAAGATACCTTCTTTGCTCTGGCGTTAAAGTCGCCAAGCACGATTTTGACATCGTGGCGGGGGCAGCTCTCATAAGTACGCTCCAAGCCTGTTTTTTTACATGGCGAGTCCCAAACCCAGTGCACAACCCTATGTAAGGGATATTTTCTCACTTTAGCTCGCCTTCAAACGGACGTTCTTAGGCTACCCAGAGGATACTTGGTCAAAGACTGGAAATCGCGAGCTGCTTGAGTCACATGTAAAAGAATCGTTTGTGGCCACTCCCAAGTGAATCTCGATCAGAGAACTTTCCTCACTTGCGTGAACTTCTACACATGATTCCATCCTCCTTTCATTTATTTCAATAAAATTTTATCCCCAAAAACTAAGAAGTTTATTTCACGATTTAACAAAAGTATTCACCTATTTGTTTAAAACTTACATGCTTTTCTATGCTTCTTCTTCTCGACTCAAAAGAATTACACCACTATGATATTTTTACATCTAAGGTTTTATTTAATTATTAATTTATATTACACGTCAAAGATCTACTTAGTACAAAATTCATATATGTACATATGTGGAA